TTCTTGGGATAAAATATTATCCAAACCTTCAAGGACAGATCTTAAAAGTGTGGTGCTTAGTTACTACCATGATATTTTTTTTTTCAATTCTCATGTTCCTTAGTTTTCTTATACTGATTTGGATACTCCTGTCTCCCTGCCCCCCAAGAAAAGCATAATTACTATTCTCAACGTATGCCTTTCTGAGGATTATGGGTTATTGGAAGAACAAAGATTGTTTCTATTTTCTACCATTTGTTTAAGAGGAAGTTATAGACATTTTGGACTTACCTGTCATGCATTGCTATATAGGATATGTGAGTATAAGAAATGTTATGGGATAAATTAGGTTATGGATGTTATGTTCCTTTCAACATATGCTTTCAGAGCCTAGCAAGGTTAATATCTGTTATTACCTGTCCAACCTTATTTTCCATTATTTCTTAGCATGAGCCTTTCATTCAGCTCAGGCCAGACTTCTCACTGCCTCACAAATACACCCAGAGCATTCCCACTTACATAACAATGCTCTTGTGTTATTCCTCTCACCAGAAATGGCTTCCATTCTTCCCCTTAAAATGATGCAAACTCTACTACTCATCTAACAAACCAGAAATACTTGCTATATGACAAAAAATGAATATGTTTTATATATATATACACATAAATATGAATAAATATAAATACATAAATATAAAAATGAATATGTTATATATATACACATAAATATGTATACTCTCTACTCCATGCTATCTCATATATATATATATATATATATATATACACATACATATATATTGCTACATCAAGGATCTGTGATTTCATCAATATGGCTCTCCCTCTACCAAGACAGAGAGAAAGACAGAGGTGATAGACAGAAAGATAGAGGGAGAGAAGGAAGAAGGGGGAGAGGGACAGGGACAAGGACAAGGAGACAGGTCAAGAGAAAAGGGAGAGTATTTGTTTGAGTCCTGCCCAGGACACTGACTATATGTGACCTTAGGCCAAGTGATTTGCCTTCTCTTAGCCCCAATTCCATTATCAATAAAATGGTGATACTGATACTTGTGCTAATCTGAGAGTACTGTTTTAGGCAGAAAGGGAAGGGACTGTGCCGAGCACTTCACAAATATTATATAATTTGATCCTCACAAAATCCCTGGGAGGTAGGTGCTTTTATTATCCTTACTTTACAATTGAGGAAACAAAGGCAGACAGAGGTAGAGTTACGTACCCATGATCACATAACTAGTATCTGAGGCCAGATTTGAACTATCCTTTCTTACTACAGGCCCAGCCCTCTATTCACTGTACCAGGGAGCTTTAAGGTTTTAAACCTTAAAGCAATGCATAAATAAATAAATAAAAGGTATTATAAATTATGAAATCATATTTCTATTCAAATATGTTGGTATATGTTAATATAGTAGAAGCCTGATTCTTAATACTGATATTAAGAGAGATGGATACTGCCTACATTCTATCAATCAGTGAGCATTTATTAAATACTTGCTTTGTGCAACTGTACACCGGGGATAAAGATGGAAAACAGTCCTCTTCTCAAGAATCTCTCATTCTAACACGGAAGACAACCTGTACATACATAGATATGTAGAAGATACAAAGCAGACACAAGATAACCTTGAAGGGGAAAGTGTTTACAGAAGTGAGGCCTGGGAAGGGCCTCTTGTAGAAAGGGGCCCTTGGGCCAAATCTTCAAAGAAGCCAGAGATTCAGAGTCCTAAGTGAGGAGGGAAAGAGTTCCAGTAGCAGGGAAGCACACGTGCAAAGGCACAGAGTTGGGATGTGGAGTGTTTGTGAGGAACAGTGAGAAAACAGTAGAGGAGACTCTGTAGTACACAAAGGGCCGTAGTAGGTAAAACGAATAGAAGTATGGGAAAGAGACAGCTTACAGAAAGTTCCAAATGCCAAACAAAAGAGTTTATAGTTGATCCTAGAGGTAATAGGGAGCCACTAGAATTTAATCACCAGCGTCACGGGCAGGGCTTCACGTCAGAAAAATCACTTAGGCAATTATGTGGAAGACGGATCGGAGTGGACAGAGATTGGAAGCAGGAAGATCAATTAGGAAGCTATTGCAAAAATGCAGGCAAGAGGTGAGGAGGGCCTGAAATGAAGTTATGGCTGTATGACTGAAAAGGACATATGTGAAATCCCGTGAAGATAGAAACAGCAAGGTTTAGCGACTGAATACATGTGTGGGGGAGTTGAGTGTGACGCTTTGAGGACACTGAGGTTGTAACTGGGTAACTGGAAAGATGGTGATGCCCTCTATAGTCATAGAGAAGTCAGAAAGGGGGTGAATTGGGGGTGGGATGGATAAGATGAGTTCTAACTTAGGTATGTTGAGTTTGAGATGCCTTCAGGTAGATAAATCTGGGGATCATCTGTATTTATTTTTGTTGTTATTATTTTATTTTTTATTCATATAAAACTCAAATACAAAACAAGAAAAGAAAAACACATTTGCATGTACACAAAAGAACATGAGAGGATTCAATATAAAATAAATGTACATTTCAAGAAAACATATGTAGAAAATACTACATATTATTTTCAAAGCTGCCCAGCTTTTCCATGCTTCCTTCTAGGTTTTCTTTTGTTCTCAGCTGTGTACTTTTTGTTTTTTCCCCTCCCTTCCATCCCCCCCACTCTAAAGAAGGCTACAATTAAACATGAATTTATATATACGTACATATCTATAAACATATGTATACATATACACACATGTTCATATATGTAAGACCATACCATGCATATTTCTATTTGTCAGTTCTTTCTCTGGAGATGAATAGCATCTTCCTTTATAGGTCCAAGTCTTTTCATGTTTTTCTAAATCAACCAGCTCATCATTTCTTATATCACAGTAGTATTCCATCATAATCATATATAGCACAGCTTGTTTAGTCATTCCCCGACCGAAGAACATCTATCACTTTAGCCAGTCTGATAGGGGTAAGATGATATCTCAAAGTTTTTAATTTGCATTTCTCTAATCAATAATGATTTAGAGCATTTTCATACGATCATATATAGTTTCGATCTCTTCCCCTGCCTGTTCATATACTTTGACCATTTATCAATTGAGGTTGTTGTTTATTCAGTCATTTCAGTCATGTCCAATTCTTCATGATCCCATTTAGGGTTTTCTTGGCAAAGATACTGAAGTGGTTTGCCATTTTCTTCTCCAGCTCATTTTACAGATGAGGAAACTGAAGCAGACAGGGTTAAGTGACTTGCTCAGGGTCACACAGCTAGCTTGACCCTTCTAGCCTAGAAGGTCTGAGGCTAGATTTGAACTCAGAAAGATGAATATTTCTGACTCCAGGACTGGCACTGTATCCACTGTGCCACTTAGTAGCAATGGTCATTGAATTCATCAAAGCAGATGAGGTGATGGAGATGATAAGTTAATGGGACACCAGCTGGCCAGTTTGACTGTGATGCAAAATGTGTTATATGTAGTACTATAAAACAAGTCTTTGTGAAGGGCTTTAAATACAAAGCTGAGAAGTATATATTTAGTCCTCTAGGGAAATGATACCCACTGAAGATTTTTGAGTAGAGTGGCATGGTCAGTCCTGTACTTTCAGAAGATTATTCTGGAAACTCTGTGAAGGATAGATTAGAGAGGGGTTAGACTGGAAGCAAGGATGACAATTAAAAAGCTTAAAATAGCCCAGAAGAGAAGTGTTGAGGGCCTGAACTGGGTTAATAATAGTGGAGGCAAAGAAAAGTGGACAGATACAAGAGATATCAACACAGGATTTGCAACTGATTGCATCAGGAAAGGAAAAGGAGAGGGAAGAATTAATGATGATTCCATGGTTGTGAAACTTAATGACTGAAGGGTGATGATGCACTCAATTGAAACAGACAAGTTTAGAGAAGCTCAAGGAAAGGAGGTGAGTTTTGTTTGGGCCATGTTGAGTTTGATTTGCCTATGAGACATCCAGGTGAAAATGTCCAATGTCAGATTCCCTTCTACAAGATCCTTGACAAGACTTTACTTGAAAATTTCTAGGAAAAGGGAACTGAACACAATAATTCAAATATGACTCTGTTGTGGTTTCATGTACTGTGTGTACTGTGGGGGTCATCTCAAAGAATTCAGAGTCAGACCACCTCTAAACCAAGTATAGGCATTTATTGAGGACTGATGCCCCTCAGAAGTGGGCTAAGTTCCAAGAGGAACCTGCAACTTAGTAAGACAACACAGGCAAATTTATAGTGTAATGATGCTGATTATACAACAGGAATTATGAATATTAAAAGGGAGGAGGGGTTTGTTAAGGGATTAGGTAATGGGGAGTGGTCCCTTCTATGGTTCGGTGGTCAAACATCGTGGTCATGCCGCTTTCTGATTGGCTAGCTATTGTGGTCTTTTTTGGTCAAGATGGATAGTTAGGTATTGTGGTCCTGTCTTGGGCTACATGGATAATGTGATTGTGGTTGAATACAAGAACACTCTTGTTCAAATATGTGAATTCAATCTGGGGGCAGTGGCGAGCTAGGGGCAGTAGCTATATTGAGTCTGGGGGCCTGTGGTATGATTAAGGCCAGGTTGTATGGTTAAATCAGGACATGCCTACTGTTCAGTGGGACTCATAAGGAAGTTAGAATGTTGGGGCTGGGGGCAACTTTATTAGGATTCCATTAGATCAATCTAGGTAGGTCCTGTGAGCTGTAACCTCCCTGGTTCTAGACACTTATGTTCTTGCCACTTAAGATCATGTTAGCTTTTTGGCTGCCACATAACACTATTGATACATAATGTACCTGAAATCATCTAAAGCCCCCAGATCTTTTCCATATGGAATACCATTAAGCTAGATCTCCCCTTATCTGTATTTGGATGCTTGGTTCTTGTTAGCCTAAGAGCAGAACTTAAAGAAGATAAAGCTACAGAAGTGGATGAGATGCTGTTCTGAACCACTGTCTCAGCCTCTCGAGGTCGTTTTGTATCCTGATTCTCTTGCCTTTCTGTTTGCTTTTCACAGTGCTGGTGCTTCTTATCTTATCCATGAGGCGGCATAGGAAGCAGCCCTACATCATTGACGACGAGGAGAACATACATGAGAACATTGTCCGCTATGATGATGAAGGAGGTGGGGAAGAGGACACGGAGGCCTTTGACATAGCAGCCATGTGGAATCCACGGGAGGCACAGACAGGTGCAGCAGCAAAGATGAGGCAGGACATGCTTCCTGAGATCGAGAGCCTGTCTCGGTATGTGCCTCAGACCTGCACCATGGAGAGCAACGTCCACAGCTATGTGCTAGCCAAGCTCTACGAAGCTGACATGGATCTGTGGGCCCCTCCTTTTGACTCCCTCCAGACATACATGTTTGAGGGAGAGGGATCTGCGGCAGGGTCCCTGAGCTCATTGCAGTCAGTCACTTCAGACTCAGACCAGAGCTACGACTTCCTGACGGACTGGGGACCGCGTTTCCGAAAACTGGCAGAAATGTATGGTGTTACCGAAGGCGATGGGCCACTGTGGTAACAAATTGGTGAGGGAGAGGGGCCACAGTGTTCCCACAATGCAGTGCACGTCCAAATACAGATCCATTCTCATCAGATGCTTCTGTGAACATGGGTGTGGTCTTCTAAAATAGCAATACTGTGCTGGAGAGTGAGAATGGGGGAGGGGATGGGGAAAACAGCTCTCTGAATCAGCTTTACTTGATTAAATTAAGTAATTGAAAGGCAAAACAAAAGAGATGGGGGGGGACTGTCCTTTTTTATGGCTGTATTTAAAGCCTTGACATCCAATTGCTATGGCATTATGGGGTTTCCTTTCACTGCAGAACTTTGCTGCCTGGGTCATAAAGAAGCTTATGGACGCAGATATTAATTCTCAGCTCAAATGGGGAGGGTGGGGGGAGGTAATAGCCAGCAGAGATATGGCCATACTTCCACATTCATTTTATTTTATTTTCCAGTTAGGGAGTTTGCTGGTTCACCAAACCACAGAAATCAACCCACACAAAAAAGAAAACAAGAAACTTAGATCTCAATATTTTTTGTGTGAAATGAATCTTACTTGTTTTAGGATTTGTGAAATTCTTAAAAAAACACATACAGACACACCCTTTTAAGACAAGGTTAGGCTTCTATCTGCCTTGCATGGGGGAAGGGGGTGGGGCAGGGAGGGAGAGGGAAGAGATGTTGACTTTGTGTTCAAGTTGAATGGCTGAAGCCAGAGTCATTGGCATTACTAGTAATCCATCTCTGAGATGTTAGCATATGTTTATTCTCCTCTCAGCTCTTTAACTGTGGTACTGCTAAATTGATCAGAATGAAACCTGAAAAGAAATCTGCCTCTTTTGCACTGTAGATGTCTCTTCCACGTGCCCATTGTGAAGATAGATGCTATGAAAGAAAGCCAAATAAGAAAGGTATCTGATAACTACATGGGTTAGAGGGCTTACCTAATCTGTGTGAGGTCAAGCCGAGGGATGTTTACATACTGTAGATAACCTACTTGAACAAATGCAGTATTATAGAAGAATAAATGGATGTAAGAAAATTACATGTATAAGTTTTGTATATTTGTTAATAATTTTGGTAATAAATATGATGTACTGCATCACAGTACCTTAGCACTTCTTTTAATAAAAGTTAAATAGAAGGAAAAGTCTGGTGGAAATTCATTGTTTAGACTGTGAGTAAGGAGACACCATCTTGAATGACATTGATTTATCATGTGTCCCTTGGGACAATGAAAGATACCAGGTCTGGTTAAGATAATGGCAAAAAAAAACCCTAAAGTATTCATTCTACTTCTGCCTGAAAGTCCTTGGGTGACCTTGACTTAGGCTGCAGCTCTGAGTTCATTCTATTAATTCCCTTATCTTAACAAGGGAAAGCACAAGGTATGGGGCCTTATAAATTAAAAAATGACTCTGGCCCCACATTTTCCATTTCATGGGTAGATAGTCACAATCAATCCATCAATATAAATTTATTAAGCATCTATTATGTGATAGTCACTGTGCTAGGGATACAAAGAGAAAAATAAAATAATCTTTACTTTCAAGTAGCTTACATTCTATCATTGTGTTCAGGTAAATGGTTGGGAAAACTGTTTTACTTTACTCCTTATTAATCCAAAATTTCCCTTTCCCAAAGTCCCAAGTGCAACGGCCTCTTTTAGCCTATGGTGTTCCTCCCTCTTCCTTGACAACAGTGAATCAGTACAAGTTGGCATGCTTTGGTTCTATGATATATTACTAACAGTCATATGGCAGCTCTCATATAGTAGTAACTTAATAAATATCGATGGATTGGAGTGAATCACAGACAGCAAGTGGTAGATAAAACTCCTTGGGTTCTTTTGCAATCTTATTATTAGAATCCTATCCTATGATCAGTGGAACCTGAGCTCTAAGTTGTTCTTCAAGGAGTAAGGATGGTCTTGCCCAAATTAATCCTCTCCCTCTCATCAGTCCCTCCATGGCAACTTATTTGTGAAATGGTTGGCCATGGATAGGGAAATCTTAATTGTCAAGCTATAGACATGAGACAATTTAATTTATCTATACAACGGCCAAACCCAAGATATTTTTACTTCAATAACACAGTATTGCTAATTAATCTAGGTAACTGGCTGACATTTTGGTTTTCAATGCACTTTGTGCTAACTGTTTCCACTACCAAAACTCAAAACATAAGGGGAAAAAACATGAATGATGGCTAAGTGTGCTATCGAATGCCTTGATTGTATATCTACATTCACATATGCACACACACATATCCACACAGTAAGAGCCTTAACAATTTGGATTGATTTTGCCAACCAGTTAGCTTCTGTTATTTTTTTTTAATTTAAATCCAACACCCAGTTGGCAGCCAGGCACTCACAGTCCAATGGCAGCCAAACAACCTCTGAGCCTACCACTCAAATGTGGGCAGGCTAAAGGGAGCAAACAGCAGGAGCGCTGCCCTGCTAGCTAACTTGGCATCATATACAAGCAGCATTTCTCACAGCACTAGGCAGGGGGCAGGAAAGAATGAATCACCAAATAGCTGAGAAGAGATAACTTTCTATTCATGTGACTTAGAGTACAGATGTGGGCCTATCACACAGAGGTCATAGAGATTGGACAGAGGGCTATCATAGCTAAAGAAAGTGTTGAACCCAAGCAACATCTTGGGCAAAATGACAGAAGGGACAGAATGATACCCTCCTTGCTTTAATGTAGAAAATGAGCTCTCTAGACTGAATTCTCCTTTTCAACCCTGTTCTCAATGTACAGTCAGCTGCAAAATGAAAGCATTAACCTATAGATCAAGCAAGCTGTGCGTTTTCCCTGTGCCTCTCATAGTTCATATCTCCTGGTTACAAAAAGAATTGCTGAAGGTGATGTAACTCACTGAGTTTTCTTTCTTTGACAGGTTGGTACAGAATGAAACTAGCTAATCCTAATTACTATTCCTCACTGGCTAATAGAGAAGCTCAAAAAGTCATTTCCTGGTGTTCAAACCAAGATTTAGCCAGATTTCCACATGTTTTGAATCTCTTTTCCCATGTTTATCAAAAATTTCTTGGGACTTTCAATAAATTACCAACTAGTTAATGGATCACACTATTATGAATGGTAACTGTCATTTGTATAGCTTATGTCAAGAACTTTACATGCTTACCCAAATGATTCTCAGAAAAAAAAACCTTGTAATGAATGTAGATATTATTTTCTCTATTTTACAAATGAGGAAACAAGCCCAGAGAAGTTAAATAATTTTGCTCAAAGTTACACAGTCCCATAGGCTGTTTACTAGCTTATGAAGTAATTGAAATCTTCAAACAAAAGGCATCACATGAGGATCCCAGCACCTTACACAGTGCCTAACACAGTGCTTAAGAAATACCTGTTGATTGATTGATCATAATATCCTAGATTTAGAGCTGATAGGTGCCTTAGAGGTCATTTTGTCCAGCCCAATCATTTTCTCAGATGTAGAAATCAAGTCTCAGGAAGATTTATTAACATGTCCAGGATCACACAAGGGGTGAAGAGGAAGTGCCAGGGTTCAATAACAGGTCCTCTGAATGAAGCCACCATTCTTTGCACTCTTCAACGTAGAGTTTCAAGCTTCCTGATGTACATTACAGCATGCTCATCATATGGTTGGGCTGCAACCAGTATAATAGAGTTAAAAAAGAGCATGGGACGGGGAATCTGGAGATACGGGTTCAAATCTTGGCTCTCTCAATGCCCAGCTATGTTACCTTGACCAAGTGACTTCAACTTCTCTGGCCCTAATTTCCTCATCTGTAAAATGAAGGGCTCTGGCTAGATGACATGTAAGTCCCTTCTAGCTCTAAAAATTAATGAATTATCATCTAAAGGAACAGAAAACCCTGCTCCCTCCAAATGTTTATCCTGTGCATTGATTTAAAAGTTTCTCCTTGAACCATAAAAGCATAAAGGATTCTAGAAAATTAAGTTGGAGGTCCTAAAGTCTTTCTAATGACTTTCTCCCTGAAACAAAGAGTTGGCCTTTGAGTCATCTTCAAGATATCCAGTACATCTCTACACTTCATGTCTTATGCTTCCTCATAAAAACCATCTAATGAAGCCAAGATTTCAACATATAACCGTGTGAGAAGCCAAAACCATGATCATAAATCAGATTGGAGTTCATTAACAAGGAACACATAGGATCCCAATATAATTTAGTTTAAAACAAACAACAGGGTGTTTCCCGAGGGCAAGGCCCATTGCCATAGTTGCCAGATTTCTTCTACATATTCACTAGATAGAAATTCTCTGTAAATCTACAGCCACTTATCTGGTAATAAAGACCCTACAAGGGTCTTAGTATATGCCATATGTATCTCAATGCCCCTTTGACAAATGTTCTTGAAGGGAGGGTTGCTTATGAGAACTGGCAAAAGACTTTATCAATTGTTTTAATCCCACAATTTCTCTTTATTGACAGCACTCACTACAAAATATCTAATGATCCAATTTAGAAGGTAATTTCTGTTTTGTTTTTTTTTCTATATGACTAGATTCACCACTGTCCAGCTTTTCCCAGGCATCCAATTCTGTCCATTAAGTTAGGACCTTCTTTAGGCAAAGCTGTTTTTTGTTTTTGATTTTGTTTTTGTTTTTTTAGCACAGATTTATAGTATAAATAGAGACTTCTATTCCCTCACTCCATTGAGAGAGAGGGATTCACCTTTTAAGACAGGAGAAGGTTAAAAAAAAAAAAGAAGAAATTTTAAAAACAGTGACGACCAGGTTTGCCAGATTCCTGAATCAATGAAATAGTCCTGCTCCAAAAGGTTAGTATGTAGTTGTAGTAGTAGTAGTAGTAGTAGTAGTAGTAGTAGTAGTAGTAGTAGTAGTGTTTATATAGTTAGGGTTTACAAAGTACTTTCTACACATTGACTCATTTATCCTCACAACAGCCCTGTGTGGTAAGGTGCTAATATTATCCCCATGTTACAGTTGAAGAAACTGAGGAAAACAAAGGTTAAGTAACTTGTCCAAGACCCTACAGCCAGTAAGTATGAGAGGCAGGATTTTAACACAAC